AAGAATCCGCTGTATTTGTTTCAGTTTATAAATAGACTTGGATAGAAGTACGATGTCTTACCAATGCTAATTTCTTGGATCTTGTTTCTATATTAAGATTAAAGGTTTTAAACTTTTGCTATTAGGCAAATTGTTTCGATGTTTCAGCAATTTCAGTTCGTATTTGGAGAGAAGCTCCCATGAAATGAAACATTGATAAAAAATTAAAGTGTCATCGATCGAAATCCTTTATAATATCGAGAGCTGTGGCTTTCTGGATTGACATTAGTTTGCATGCGACCGAGCACGTGCTATGTATATAAATACCTGCTCTTCAATGTATTATGCTTTCTTGTATCAATTAGCGCCTAAGCTTAAAGATAAAAACACCTTAGCGGTGAATTGTATCTAATTTGTGGCTGTCAACAAGAAGGTAATTATCGGTGCTTTCTATCGTGGCTATTATGCCTTGGGCAGAGCAACTTCACGAGTCCAGGAAATGACATGATACACATTCTGCGGCATAAACAGACTTTCTTCTATCACCATCAAAATGGCTTTATAGTGGCGTTGACTTTTTCATGATAATATTGTATAATTTCATCTCGAATACTCGAACAAAAATGTATCCAGCTCCATGTGCAATTAAAACCTTAATTGAGCCTTCAGTCTATTCTACTAAAAACCAAAAAGATGAGTAACAAACCTTCCAAAAAAGTTGGGGTACAATTCCAATAGTCACTTTCGCAGTGTCGCAGTGATGACACTATCTGCTAGTTCGTTGTCGCCTCAGACAAAACCTACATCTTGCTGAGGAGTTGCCAGACCGCACGAAACAACTCTCCATGGTTGGCCATCTGTGGTCGGACACACGAAGGCTGTATTACTACTTTGTTCAATGGCGAGTGGGCCGTATCTACTGTAGGATCAGAATCGGCGGCATCTTGCGGCCACATTGCTGTCTCCACTTTCACTGTGGTGGGTTCTGATAATAGATGGCATGCTCATACAAAGAGGTTGGAGGAAGGTCAACTTATAGTGGGACAACTTGCTTAGTCTGCCAGAAGTTGTCCACGAGGAGATGTCATTGCTGCATTTGACCTTGCAATAATGCTTCGCAAAGTATACATAGAAACCAGCCATCAGAATTTAAGTTACATTCACTTACGTTTCTCACCTTGTACCAATTAATACAAGGTGATCAGAGTACATATTGACGGTACTCAATGTCCCACGTTTTGTCTATAAGACAATATGAGATCTTGGACTAAACTGCTATTGAACCTCAGGACATGCATATTGTTATAGAGCTAACCAATCGTTCAAATATTCCACCCACACTTTGCGATATCTTGGTAGACTGATGTAGCCCCAGTACGTATAATAAACTTACTTGAGAACATTAATAAACAAAGTTTTCTTGCGAAGATGATGGTGTACTTCCCGCTAAGTTGAAGTATTATTTTCATCTCGTTACATGCTGTTTAGCTACGAAATTAAATTGCGTGCATAGTCACTAACCCACTTCAGCTTCTCATAATTATATTATGATGATAGCTGCTGCAACAGGGTAATCCAAGCGGTCTGGGTTAACAGAATACATTATTAACAGGCAATTAGAACTAGTATTGCTGTTGACCTGAACAACTTTGCAGATTAATTGGTTTGGGTTTCACAGCAAAAACACGGGACACAGAGCCCTTGAATCACTTGTGGTGAGATATGTAACCAAAACCGGTGTAGGCCGGAATAAAAAAAATCTCTGTATTGCATTTTATACGTATATGTCACTTTGTATATATTTTTCTACCTGTTTCATGCTACAATCCCCGTAATTACCCAACGGCTAGACGTGCCTGCAAGCTCATAGATTTTGCAGATCGTTCTCAGTTTTGAGTCGTAGACCTTCATAAGTACTGGTATCGAAATCATCGAGACGATCAAACCCATCAAGACGGATGGTATGTTTTGGAATTGCGAGAATCGGAATCGAAAGGAATCCTATTCTTCATCATCATTAAATCATGAACTTACACTAAGTTGTCTTGGATACTCATTTCGATTGGTAACGAGGCTCTTGCGTAAAATTAGATAATCTTTGGGTACTTTGAATGAGAGTCTAGAAGACGAGGAATGCCAGTGTGGACCATAGTAGGCGATTAAACATTACAACGTCAAGTTAGCAGTTCACAGCAAAATGCCGCACGCGAAATATGGGCGTTGTAAAATATATCATACTTTGTCAAACGGCCCCACTAAAACTCAGCTCCAGGTGTAATTAAAATTTTCTGTCGCGAAATCTCTTACTTAATATATAGTCGAACTATAAAAGTCCTTTTCACTTCGCATCAAGGATAACATGAAATATAGCGGAACTCTCCGATATTGTTTTTTCACGCCGCCTTGCTAACAGGTATTTATCAGTTTCGCTCACTCACATCGAAATAGTACATTAAATACCTTGGTGGAAACGTGTGCCATTATTGGCCGAAGACCTTTGTATTCGTCGCATAGTGCGAGGACAATAACCACTTTGGTACTTATAGAATTCTATACACTATCAATATATTATTACACTAAGATTGATTAGACTATGAAATATAGCATATCTGGTAATTTCTTTAACGCCTGGCAACGCCGTTGGATAAGGTCAACGCTGCCGCCACACGATGAGTGTGGCATGAAAATGCTACATCGACACATAATTTTTTTCTCACTCATTCTTGAGTAAACCAATCAAGTAGCCTGGAACATAGTCTGTATTTACTAGTAGTAAACAATAGTTATTACTAATATTCAGGAATGAATAACAGAGCCCAAAAGCAGTTACTATTCTGTGCCTAACAAGCCAAAGAAGCTCTACACGTATCCAGAAATTCACTGTTAACCTGGGTTTTTTTCCTAGGGGGAGAATTGTAGCTTCTCCTTAAGGGAAAGTAGTACATAATGGTGATTTCTCAGTTAACTAGTGAAAAAACATAACTAACGACAAACGCAAACTGTTTGGATGCAATAGAGCATCTTGTAGATTCAGGCTGCTCGACAAGTCGGTCTGCTAGGAAGAACAGGCAATAGAGCAGAAACAACCACTATATGGTATGGTACAAGATTTTTGATGATTACAAACGTTTTGTATTTCAAGAACTGGAACTAGTCAGAACAATCTAATAGCGTCTGATAAAAATTATATGACGGTATTGCCTAGGCTTTAGTGCAAACGGTTGAAAGCCTATCATAATAGAAAACGGAGCACGTATATGGCATTGCGTCTATGAAGTTGGTCTTCTCAGGAATAAAAAATGTACTAATCAACAAATTTTTCAAATGTACCATTTAAAACGCAGCTGTTATTACTTTCGTGTTTCTTTATATGTACTTTTTTACTGTCTTAAAACAGTAGGTGCCTTTTGAATGTATACAATCGCATCAAAATGGCTGAGAGTGCTAAAACAAAGTTATTGTGTTGCAAATCCGGAATACATGAGCGGTAGGGCTGGTAATCTCAGCTCCCATCTCTGCGGAAGTTAACTTCCAACGTAAACCAACTTTATTGGATTTTTATTCACATTTTTGTAGACATTTTTCCGTTTGCGGCATACTTAAATGTACGACAACTGCCGTTAATCCAGTGTGTACTAACAACGTCATAAAATTACCATACAGCCGCAACAAAACTGGTAGTACATCTGTAGTTACTCCATAAACGGCCTGATATCAGGTGCTCTATGACTTATGGTCACGCATCCTGCTTTAAACGAAAAATCGAATGGATCGGTGAGTCGGTATCACAATATATTAACCACATATTTCTAATTAAATTTTACATAGTTTTATATTTTGTGATATGAGGAATATCATGTCCTTTTACTACGGTAATCGCGAAAGCAAATCCTTAGTAATGCAGTACCTCGGAAACCCAGTTGATTTAGAGTTTGAACTGGCTAAGGTCAGTAGAACCAGAAAACGCATCTTCTGGTACCTGGTATCGCACGAGCAACATATCGTAGGCATGAAGAGGCTATGGGGGTAATACTCCATTTAATACAGTCACTTGGTAGGTTTATCTAGAAAAATCTGAAATTTTTTTTCAAACGTTGATATATTTGAAGATTTTGACTTTGCTATTGCCGTATCTCTTGCACTAGCGTCGCCATATTCAAAAAATGTTGCTTAAACACTTTTTTACAAGGTAACTCAACTAGAGCAAGTCTTCCACAATTTATGTTCATTTATTGTTTGTGAGACGAACAGATATGACGCAGCAGCTTGGCTTACGAATGTTCAGAAAAACATACGTTGGTTGAAGAATCTAGTGCTCCACCCGAAAACGTCTTGAAGCAGTTTCAAGATCATTGCCTCTCCATATGCATTCTGACGTACGCTTTCTGAATTTTTACGTTGCTACTTCGTATCTTTACCTCTAACTCTATCAGATTAGAAAAATAGTGACAAAGACGGTGCTCTGATTACGTTTTTACACCATTATGTCCAGTCTTTTTTACCTCAAAATTCTAACATATCCTAGTATACACTTTTATAACCATGACGGTACTAGAGGGAACAATACGGGGTATCAAAGTGAAAACTGGTATCGCTGATCGAGATCGTTACGAATATAACTTTTCCAAGCTTTTCCAGGAGTTACCAGGCAAGCACTCTTTGAGCAACGATGCTCCTATCTGAACTGTATCAACTATGGCTGATAAGGCTGCAGCCCGCTAGGTTTTATTTTTAATAAGCCAACTTTCTCGTAACAGTTGTTGCAGCCATGTGGTTGTTTAGGGAATCTAAAGTGCACCGCATTACTGCACCGTTGGCATTAACTGCTACATTAAGTAATCCCGTAACGTCCTTTGTAACCAAAAAAGACTCAATTCGTTCTAACGTTACATTTTAATGCGCCGTCTATAAGCGCATCTACTTGAAAGCTTCCGTTTCTGAGAATTCCGCAATTTACTTAAAATGCCTCTCTAACCTTGGTTATTTTCTAAATCGCAGTCAATTGTACTCTTTGGTTTTAGAAACTGTTGCATGCTGCGAAGCCATGAAGTTGTTTCACGTCTCGGTTGAGGTGAACTCACAGCTTTACATGAAATCGTGTCTTTCTGAATAAATCGACTTTTTGCATGATTCCTGAATTGTTTCCATTATCAGATTGTTTTCTTTTTGCCCATTTACAATCATATCATTAGAGTAAACAGTTCAGCATGTTTCTCCTAATATATATTGTATCGATATAAATAAAGGGAGATGCGAAAGGTAAGTCTTTATCCCGCTTAACTATAAAAATATACTAACTCTGTGCTCAGTTGGTAAATAATGTGATCTTAGAGTGGGGTTCTTTATACTTTGGTCTTTGATACAAATTTTTGAGGCTTGGGCGTCACCTAGTTCCGGGAACTAGGAAAAAGAAATAACAAGTACTGCCTTTCGGCTCATTAAAAATTAAGCTGACTACCAAATGATGAGTCTCTGGAGCTAAAAGGAACACAAATTCACAAGGCACACAAACGCTTATGAAACAAAACAAAATTAAAAGAAGTTCTTGGAGGAAAGGAAAGCAAGGAAGCAAAAGGAAATTAGGTGGTAGTACCCCCAGCTAAATGGTTGCCAGCAAAAACAAAATCGAAAAGAAATCACCTTGGTAGGTGCTTGGCTATTACATAATTGTGGAATTGATTACCACACAAGAGAAGAGTAAGCCGCTATGGAGCTTCTCGAAGAAAAGGCTACCAATGTTGCTTATGAATATTGTTCGGAGTTGTAGTCATTTGATTCCATACCACAAATTTGTTAAACTCTTCCCAAGCTTCCAACATTCGGGGCTGTCTAGGTTTTTACTGTGCTCACCTCGACATTGTTATGAATGCTTTAGTACGAGATAAAGCTATCTACCTACCTACCTGGCTATGAAAGCGATCTCTATGGAAGCGATCTGTTTGCACTCGTTAAGCATCATCAGCATTTTGACAAGATCCTGTATGCTAACATCACATCGTCAAGTTCATCATTGCTACAGAATGTTTAATTTTAGGTTTTTCGAAACCTATTTATATAAACAAACAGCTCGGCTTACATACCCGACACTCGGCGCCTGGGTTGAGTGCTGACATAAGCCGTATGTTTTTACCTAATTTTGAATGATGAGTTCGGGTGTCAGTTCCGGATTAGTTATCGCAGATTTTCCCTAAGTCTAATAACTCGGGTATCTGCAGGGAAATCATAACTTTCAATGTACTTTGTATGAAGAATCTTACCGAGCATAAAACCCATGCAAGTATATGGGAACACTAAAAAATAGTGAGACATCATCTCCACAATATCGATTAAATAAAGACGTTTGTCTTTCTTCTAGGTATGTTGGTCAAAACGATTAAAAATGCGAAGCTGTTGGTATTAGACAAAAGTAGCGTCAACTAGAAGACCTCTATAAATACTTCTCACATCTTCCTTAAAATTTGCCCATTTCGAAGCAAATCTTAGGGTATGTTCACGTAAGTGATATTTCTGCTTCAACGGTAGATGTATGTAAATAATGTGTGATATTAGTGCCTTCGTAATAACAGAACGTATTTCACTGATGTCGAAAATGCAACATTCACCATCTGCAACTCCAAACCCCAATTTTCAACTTCCCCATAACACCACTTCAGAAACGTCGAAACACGATGTTTCAGCGATTTTTGTTGTTCTTCCGCGGCTACCCGTGCGAGGTATTGAGTTAATCTACCTGACGAAATTCTCTTCATATTATTTTTCCCGTGAGGATCAAGCTCTTATCAACGAAAATATGTATATCCAGAAAATCACTAACACATTTAAGGAAACAAGCTGGTGGTTTGTAGAAATGGGTACACTCATGGCTCATGAAATTCAGAACAAGATCTGTAAGGTATTAAATTTGACAAATTATCATTCACTAGAATATATTTCCATATAGCCATATCGACTATTTCAGTTTCTTAATTCCACTTCTCGCAGAATCTTGTTACCTGTTCCTATTGCCTGCTGATTTCACGATCAGACACTTCCTAATAGTATAACGTCACTTGTATCACATATGCCGCATATACAACCTTCTACTCCCCACACTTCCCAAATTTTACCCTACACATTTTTTTCTGGAAATGATCTGAAAGTCAAAAAACCCAGTTTAAGCAACTTTCTTCTTTTTTGGCCTTTTTCTCCGCCGTCACTAGACCGATTTTCAAAGGCTACAAATATGTTACGTCCTTGGCACAGCAATAACCTTGTTTAAGAATTTCATCTTAACCAGAGCAGTACTTTCCAAGTTATAGACGGTCCAAAGATGTGCGAGCAGGCTGACAGACAGACAGATTGACGAACATGGATGACATGTTTTGTTGTGATGTACATGTCATATAAAATCCAAAACACATAATATCTCATTGTCGAAATTCTTCGCTATTACAGCACTTCCTTGGGAAGTAAAAATGTAGTCCAAAACCACCTAGTAATATCAAGCTGGTAGAAATATTATTTTCTGGTGCGAAGGTTTTTAGCGGCCTATCATAGGATCATGATCATAGAATTCGCAAAAGGTTACCACTCTCAAGAGGTGTTATATGTAATATTTTGTATATCTTAAAGCATACCATTTTTCCTGTCCTAATAGTGCATGAAAAATACAAACAAAAAGAAAAACCTTACATTGTACCATGACAAATCGTAGAAGCAAAGGCTGCTCAAGTTTCTTTAACAAATAATTCGTGGGATATTTCTGTTTCCTCACTCACGCCACCCCAATTAAATTTCTTAGGGATGTAATGCGGGCGGACAAAAAGTGGGAGGGATAAGATGCGATAAGATTCATACCGCTCCATTCACAGCTTGTCATCACAATATATCTGTTACACAAAAACGAAATATGAACGGGGGTGAAAAAATGTAGAGGGTTCCATTGTGTAGAATGTGTCACTTCCAGGATAACTGCCACTTTTCCTCAGTAAACATATCGTCGCTGAGTGATATCCACATAGGAAGAAACCTTTTAGGTACAATAGGTAAGTTGTATGTAAGGATAACCTTTGAATGGTAGTGCCTAAAAGCAGAGTATTAGAGCGGATAAAAGGTGATCACGAGTAAAGGAAATCATCGTTCAATCATTTGTCGGAAAAGTAAAACCATTCTCCCGACAGAATATCTTGAACTCTCAATTACACAAGAACAACAAAATTCGAATCGCTCGGCCATGACAAGTCGGCTGCCATACTGATAGTGACGACAAACATGAATATAGGTGATGAGCAAACAACTGTACGTTATATTGAATTTTCGCATTTTGAGATAAGCTAACCTGGGCTATTTAGTCTAGAAATTATCTTCGCTTCCGTCTGCAAATTTATATTCATTCGGTTTTTTCCATACTCCCAAAACAATTTTTGATCAAAGTCCAAACAATGTTTTTTCAGCTCGAAGAAAGCTTTTCTTGTTGTTGGGCTACTATGAACAGGAAAGGTTCTGACGAACCTCCAAAGTAAGTTAGTTTTCTTGAAATTAGCTCCTGAGAAGACGGAAGTAATTATACTTTCCGGCAGACAGAAGCTAACTGAATTAGCTGTTAAGGTAGATATGGCCGAGATTCGGAGCCAAAATGCAATTAAGTATCTGGGTGTGTGGCTTGACAAAGATCTAAAGGTGATTGAGCATATAAGGCGCACCACTGGCAAGGCAAATAAGGCCGATGCATCTCTGATACGGCTAATGCTATCTGATAGAGGCCCTAGTAGTGAGAGGCGCAAGATTTTGGCAGAGGTGGCAAACTTGAATATGCTGTAAGGAGCTTCTATATTAAACAAGACCTTGGGGAAAAGGAAATATAGACAGCTAATACTAAGAAGCCAGCAAAATTAGTGCTGCGCATGGTATGCGCTCACAGAACGGTGTCGACCGATGCCCTGCTGGTGGTAGCTGGTATCCCGTCAATTAATTTGCTTGAGGTAGAGATGGATGTAACTCGCCATGGTGCATGGACCAGAAGGCAGATCCCAAAAATTAAAACCTGGATTGACAAGAAAGCGGTCCGGATAGATCACTGCACAGTTCCTAACAGGACATGATTGTTTTGATATATACCTGAAGAGGGTAGGAAAGAGAGAGTACGTTAATTGCGTAGTATATTGTAATGAAGAGGAGGATATTTCATATCACCTACTTGAATGTGGTAGGTGGGTTGACTACCGGGCACAGCCTGAATTGACGCTCGGCGGGAGCCTCACTATCGACAATTTTGCCTCGCACATACGCGAGGCGAAGTGGGTTGATATTCAACTAATAGTGACGCGAATGATGCTGATTGAGGTACGGGAGAACAAACATAGACCAGGAAACCGAAAGTATGTTTTTGCCGAGCTTTTCCGCCTGATAGTTACTAGAAAGTCTTTTCGCTGTCAAAAAAAGTTAGTTTTTGAGATATAAGTAGCCAACTGAATCCGTCTTGCGCTCACGCAGAAGATAAATTGATCATGCTCAAATGACAGTTAAAAAATAGAGGTTCACAATAAACAATGGACCTAAGATGGTTTGGGATCTTTTGAATGTTTGTAAAATGGTTAAGAAAACATTGGCAACTTTCTTCTCGTTTTTTGATAAACACCTGAAAAAGGAGCCAAAAAGCCATTTTTGTAGCCTGTTTAAAAACGCTGTTCAGGCAATTTTTGGGGCAATTTTGGCGCTAGCTGCATAGATACAAAAAATCCTTCTTGAATGAGGTTATGCAAAAACAGTGAATCAGAATATTTTTCTGGATGCAAATATACTGCCTGTCTCACAGAGAGGTCGATGAGCTGAACGAAGATTCGTGGCATAATTCATCGCTTTTTCATTACTTCAATCGGTATCAAACGCGTCTGAGAATATCTTCTCGACGCAATGGATGTTTCAGGAGAACGAAGAGGCGTGGTGCTGTTAAAGCAATATCCGATGATGGCCGTGCGCTTAAGCGGCTCGAACCGCGCGGAAATGGACGTTTGGCGCTTAAACAGAACGGCCATAATTGTCTGCATAAATTCTAGTGTAGCTACACTCACTACTCTACAATAAATAATTGATAACCGATGCATTAAATGTGCACACGCTGCCAGAGGTGGCAGAGCGATGCAGATCAGCGATGCTTTCTAGCCCATTTTAGATTTGCATCCACTTGAACGTTTAACGCGAATCGGGAGTGTGTACAGAAATGCTCACTGGGTGAAGAGAGAGCCATAGACGTCCACATATAGACGGAAGGTTGTCGCTCATTTTTTGACACGACAATTGGAAGAAGCCTCCTCAGGCAGATTGTCTCGATGCTCTAGTGAGCGATTGTATCTGCCAGTTCTGAACATATTTTCTAGGGCACTGAATTATTTGTACGGAAATTTCCATCATCTGTATATAATTTTAAATTACAAATATGCAGGGATCTCGGCTCCTGTTATACCTACAGCAAAGGTTAAATGAGGAATACCGAAATTGTCGAATTTCATTTGTTGGCAGTAAATCCGAAACGGTTAATTTGACAGCTGTCAAAATGTCAGATTATTCGGACATTTTTTTAAAGCGAATAAGATAGCGTGTATGACATGTCTCAATCGTCTTTTGTTTTCTCGCGACCTGCCTAAACTTTCATTTTTCATACGGCTACTGTATTGGATTTTTCGATTTTGAAAACAGCGTAAAATTTCCAGCCTAATGATGTCTCACAAGTGCATAAAATATTGGAGTATAATCGAAACCTCATCTCACGTAACGTTATGTATTAATTTTTTTGAGGAGGCCATGGTTTATTTGTCAGAATATAAAAATAATAAGTAACGAATTGTTTTTGTCTAGGAGGCTCTGACTCTGACGTTAAATAATTAATAATATTAAAATTGTTTTAATAAGTAGCAGGTACGTTTACTCTCATTAAAATCATAAATCTGATAAAAAAATTGTCAAATCTGTTGAAAATGGCATGTATTCCCTACTCAAATGAAGAAAAGTTTGACATCTTAGCGCTATACTTGCAGTCACACAGAAACGACAAAAATGTCTAGATGCAAATGGACGTTATTTTGCAAATCTTCAAATTAATACACTTACATTACATTATTACAATTTTGAAAAATGTTTGTTCAAGTGTAAAATAAATTTACAACTTTTTTTTTAACACATTCATAGTTGGGGATTTGTCCCAAAATATTTGTCTTGCTGAGAAGTCGATATTAACGTTAATATTATATTGAAAATTCAAAGGGTTTATGTGTTTTTGTATGCCTTACCCATTAATGTTATTTTCTGACAAATAAATCATGGCTTTCTTAGAAAAACTAATACAAAACATTACGTGTTATGATATTTTGGTGATACTCCAATCTCTTATGCAGTTGTAAGACATCATTAGACCGGAAATTTTACACTATTTTCGAAAATATAAAAACCCAATATGAAGGCCGTAAGAAAAATGTTGAAGCGGGTTGCTGGGTTAAACAAAAGACGATTGAGACATGTCATACATGCTATCTTATTTTTCTTAAAAAAAATGTCCAAATAATGTCGCATTTTGACAGCTGTCAAATTAACCGTTTTGGACTTACTGGCAAAAAACAAATTCCTCCAATTTCGGTTTTTCGCTGATATTTTCAAAACCAATTGACCAATCGTAAATCTGAAACCGGCTATCGAAAACACCAAGTTTCCTCTAGAACTTTCCACACTCAACCTTTGGTGTAGGTATAACAGAATGTGGGACACACTGTATAGATAAACATTTACTTTATCTGTTCATGTATAAGGTACAAAATAGACATATCATGGAAAACTTACAATGCAACCACTCCTCTGGCTAAAACTTTGAACTAAAACATTCACTTATGAAATGAAGACAATGTTCAGTCACGAACTTCTTTAAAATATGTTTAAACTGAACCACATCAAGTTGACGAATACTTTTTGTCAGATAATTGCACAGATCTGAACGTGTTTTGATATCGATATTGAGAATTTAGTTTCTCTTAAGCCGTCATATGACCTAGTCTAGTAACTATGGAAGTTAGAGCTTGTGACTTAGTAATTATATTTTTATGAATATCTATCAGTCGCATATATAAATAATGTTGGAACAGACCTTATTTCGAGATATTTGAAGTGATCTCTAGAAGAATCGTAATATCCTAAGCCGGTTCATGGTTCTCATGGTTTTCATCTGAATAGCTTACCTATTTTATTAAAATTGTCCCATAATTTTATACCATAGCTAAACTGTGAGTGAAAAAGCCTAAAGTAGCAACGTTTTAATACTTGTAGGCTGACCTGTGATTTCAGTTTCCGCGAAAGAAAAAGAGTTTTACTTAATTTTACAGCAAGCGAGTCAGCGTGATGAACAGAACTTAATGAGCTATCTAAAACTATTCCAAGGATTCCAGCACTTCTACGCATCGTTACAGACCTACTATCTACAGTTTAGTCTTCGTTTAGTTTTAGATAATTAGCTGTGAACCAATTGTTTGCTTTTCCTAAATTGATAATAGCTTTTTTTCGAGCATAGCTAGGTTACGGTCTGCACATATGAGTGATGTGTCATCAGCATATACTATATGCTACACAAAGGCCCGACATGATAGAATAAGCCATTTAGGTAGATTAGTCAAGGTCCTGGTCCACGATCTCTCATTCTTTTCTGTAGTCATAAAATATGTCGCAACTTTAGATGCCTGTTTCCTATAAAATGTTCATCCATCCCAAAACTACATACCACACTTCCATCGGTGTCGATGGATCTGCGTTGATCTGTAGGTGTGTCGTTTTTGTCATTCTCATGAGAGCGTCAAGGATCGAGCATCAATAGTGACCACGTGACGTTTGAAGCTTAGAGTCAGCCAGCATGGGTGCAGATAACTTGCTTTTTCAATACACATCGGAGAAATCACCATTATCGACCGCATTGGGCCGCTTTGAAAGGTAGCGTGTGTCTCGTTAAGTTAATAGCGATAACAAACTTCAGCAGTATGGAAAGTATTGGAAATCGTATTTTAATGCTATCAGAATGAAAACAATCAAGAAACGTTAGCACTTTACTCCCATCTGTGACTAAAATGAATCAGTCCAGACATCAAATCTGCTTGCTATTGCATTCAAGTTTGTCGGTTTGTGAACCAAGGTACTAGATGCATTTGTAAAATGTGTATTGACTGCCATGATCGTTGACTTAAGTGAAATGTCCATCCACAAGATAAACAATAAAAAAAACAATATGTACCAACCACTAAAAATGCAGAGTTTCAACATAAAAAATGATTGGTTGAGTAAAATACAGGTATATCAATATTGGATAAAAGTACATTATACATACACATAGAAAGATGTTAATGCATATATCATAAGCAGAAACACGAGATAAATTAATGTAAATGATTGCTCGAAAATTATTTTTTTTTAAATTCGTGAAATTCAAAACTTTAGTATCAGAGGGTAAAGCATTGTACATGATAGTAAGTAAAAAATTTAGTAAAAAATGAGGTGCTGTGAGGAGCCATTGTTATT